GGTCCCCTTGATGGCAGATCAGAAGGGTCATCTTGGTTTCCAGTGTCCCACCTGTGCTGTGAATTGCCCTGACCCTTCAATTCTCCATCTTTTGGTAACATCCGCCGCCTCCTCCAGACACCTGCTTCCCTTGGCTTTTGTGAGCCCCATTCTCTCCAGGTTTGTTGCCTTTTTTTAACTGTTCCTTCTGGAATTCCTTCTTCCCTTTACCTTCTCAAGCTGCCTTTCTTCCCTTTTCTTCTCTCCCAGCCCCCTCTACCAGGAGGGATTTAATTCACACCAAGGCTTTGTAATGAACAAGCTGATGATGTCAAATCCCATAGCTCTCTCCTGAACTTCCAACCAGCAAGCAACTCTACAGCCCCTCAAACTCAAAATATTCCAAACTGAACCTGGCACCGTCCCACCCCCCCTTGCTGCGCCTCCTGTAATCTCTGATTCCGTGGTTGGCAGAAGACTTTGAGTAAAGCAGATTACCCTCCATAATGTAGGTGGGCCTCACCCAGTCAGTTGAAGGCCTTACGAAAAGGAGTTGAGGTTCCTCGAGGAAGGAGTTCTGCCTCCAGACTTCACTTGAACTCCAGGCGGCAACATCAACCCTTCCCTGGGTTTCTAGCCTGCTGGGGTGCCCTGCAGATTTCAGCTTTGCCGACATCCCAAATCACATGAACCAATTCCTTAAAATAAATTTCTTTCTCGATATATACATGTTCCGTTGGTTATGTTTCTCTGGAGAACCTAAGACTGCTCTTTGTCTCTCTTGTTGAACATTGTGGATTTATATATGCTATTTCAGATGAAGACATGTTTTGGGGGTAGATATTTTTACTTGGAGATTCTTTTACTATTAGACCCAAGATGGCCACTCTTCTGTTTTTGTGGTTGATATTTTCAGTTATGCTTGAGATAAACACCCATTCTCTGGTTAGATAAGCATTTGTCAGGGAGGAAAGCAGGAAGCCTTTTGGTATTTGCACGCATTGGCATGGGACAGAGTTAGGTTTGAAACCACAACCTTGGGGCCCACAGGCAGCATAAATCCTCAGCTCCCCTGCACACCACAAATAGGTGTTGATAGTCTGAAGAGTTCCCCTAGGAAATCTCAAATATTCTGCCTGTCCTTCGCCAATGGGAACTTGAAGCATAAGAAACACTAAGAAAGGAGCCACCAAAGTATTCCCTTGTTTTATGTTTTGGTTCTTAGTTCTACTTCTGCTTACCAAATGCACCGCTGACGTTTGTTTTTCAAATTGTGTGCCATTGTTTCACAAACATTATAACAGCAACTAAGGACTTTTGTTTTAAAGAGAAAATTTTACTTACAACCCCACTCCCCTAGAAACTTACTTTGTTGAGCTTTCCAAGGACACAGGCTAAATGATAGGCCCACAGACCTGGGAATCAAGGGCGGAAGGTGGCTGGGGAAGGGGAGATCACTGAAGCTGGACAGTGGAACCAATGATCGCTGCTGAAATGCCATTTACAAGTTGCTATTCTCACAATGACCCAGGGGCACCGGAGGAGCATTCATACCATTTGGAAAAGGCCGAAGGCTGTATGGTTTTTCAGAACAGCTGTCTCCATGAACTCCTCCCCAGGCTCAGCTATCGACTGCCCAAGTCCCTTTTTGTCTTTTAAAGCCCAGCATAGGAAGATTTGGCAGCTAGAACAAGGTTGAGCACAACTCACACAGGAAATGGCCCGTGGCTGGACTGGCGCCTGAATGCGGCTGAATGGGCACAAGCACACCCGGGCCTTAGCAAGGAAGCAGCTGTCACTCAAAGCACCCCGTTCAATGTCATCGGCTGTGTGTTTCCTTGCTCTAAGTGTCTTCGCAGTCTTAGGAAGGTAACACTAATGGTGGGACGCAGTAAACTCTGCCTTAACCTTGTAGGTTCTGTAGGAAGGGGGAGGAAACGTAGGAAGCAAACTAGTATTAACTTACGTACTCCACTCTGAGCTGGGAGCTTTATTTATATACATATGCTGCAAAGGAGAGTGATTCAGACCACTGACTGTGCAGCCTTGGGTACGTCACTTAACTCTTCCGTGCCTCATGTTCCTTCTGTAACAATAACAGTGATAACAATACCTACGTCACAGACTTATTACAAGGATTAAATTAATTATTATGTGTAAGGCACTTAGAACAGTGCCAGGAACGTGTAAGTGCTATGTACGTGTTTGCTATTATTTTCTTTACTAGGTAATTTTAACAGAGCCCTGCTTACCCTTTTATGATTGAGGAAACTGAGGCTCATGGAGATTAAGTCAATTACCGGAGATGGCAGAGCCTGAAACCAAACTCAGATTTATCCCACTGAACTGTTTTCTTCTTAGAACAGGACCGGGCCTGCTCAATGCTATCGAATTCCCTCTCCTGCTTGCCAGCTCAGGGTTCAGTTTATTAGCTGTCCTTTGTACCGACAAGGGTGAAATCCTATATGACTCAGGTTCTGTCTTTAATCCCCCCCATTCCACCCATCCCTGGCAAAAAGCCAATGGTCAACATGTGGGGGGCAAGGGGTGGTGGAAGGAGAAACTTCCCTCCTACAGGCCCCGCTCCCAGTAGGCATAAATCTGATGTGGCCTATGCTTCCTCTATCAGAAAGCAGGGGACAACTATAACTAAATAAAATATCCCAATGAGCAGGACTCTTATTACAGCCTGATGGAGCTCGGGGAGCAGTGGGCCTCCCAGATCAGTGCTGTCCAACAGAAATATTATACCAGTCACGTATGTAATTAAAATTTTTCTAATAGCTACATTAGAAAAGCAAAAAAAAAAAAAGGGTGAAATTAATTTTAATCATATTGAACCTAAAAGATTCCAAAATATTACCATTTCCACCTGGAATCAATATAAAAATTATTAGCGAGATAGTGTATGTGTTAAGTTTAAACCCGTTGTGTTTACACATACAGCCCTGCAGCCACACACCGTCCGAGTACGACAGGGACCAGCCAGACTCAAGGGCCTTCTGTACTCGTTCAGCGACTTGACACAAAACTGCCCCCTGCTCCCCCCTCCTCTTCCACCAGGGGCAGACCCTCCGATGGGAGACAGATGGCTGAAGGAGCAAGACCGCCCCTCCTCCCCCAGTCACCCTCCGTGAGCAGTGTTTGCGAGCAGCTGGGATTTTTTGTGTGGCCGCCGAGCGTTTGTGCCAATTTGCGCGTTTCGCGTGCTTCTCACCGCGCGGGGCTGGGCGCGACGCTGGGGGCGCACTTCGGGCTCCAGCAGCACGCAGGCCAATCTGGACCCTGGCAAAACCCTCTCCGGGGTCTTGTGCCCGTGGGGACGGTGTGGCCTCCACTGACGACAGCGCCCCCGGAGGGGACGGCGGACACTCGGTAGGGCTCAGGTTTCCTGGACCGGACGGCCGGCCGGGGCCCGGAG